GCTAACTTCCTAGACTGGGCTTTAAAAAATGGTTGATCAAAGTCTCTCTCTTTCTGCGCAAGTGGACTTCCAACCTCGGAGCAAACTTGCTGACATGTTAGTTATATGCTAGGCTGAAACTGGTCTACCGCCTCATCATGGAGCGGAGATCACTCTGGGTGTCTAACTGCGAAACACAGCGGAATTTATTTTCCAGCAAAATCTCTTAAGCTAAGAAGGAGTTCACCGTTTCCGGCGCCCCGGATGCCCAGCTAAGAGTAATGCCAGAAGCCCCATTTTCTGGCTGATTCAGTGGCTAGGTGGTTCCCTGTTTCAAATAGCGATTGCGGTGAAATCTTGAGTCCTGGTAAGGCTGTTAAGTTTGGAGAAAATCTATTGTTTTACAGGATGTAAGAGGAAAAGAAGCCCTGCACACTGAATAATCTCCGACGACGGATGTCATCAAGACCAGTTTCAGATTACACAGTACGCCATGGATTTCGGACCAAAAGGATACGACAACGACTTGCCATGGAGATTATCTCATGCTCTGCACCTAAACGCCAGTCTCCACTAGTCTCCACCAACGCCAATCTTCACGCACTTCTCGAAGCTGCAGGGCGCATCAACTACCACGTAATCGCCTTGCAGGAAACAATTCAGGAAGGCAGATGCGAGGCAGCCGAATGATGGCACATTAATCATTCGTGATTAATGTGCCATCATTCAATCAACGTGGAGCGTGGGATTTGTCGTACATCCATCTGTTGTCCATCGTGGCAATTCGCGTGGGATCCTATCACCTCGTCTGGCTAACCTTCAACTCTGTCCCCTGCATCAGAAATCCATCACTACCATCAACTACCACCAACATAAGCAGCTGATCGGATCTTGATGATTCTTATGAGCATTTAAAAGAAGTCCTCAAAGAGAATTCCTTTTGCGTATTTGTCGGGGATGATTTCAAAAATTGGGATATCAGAAGAAGGGGAGCGTAAGATCGGGAGATTTGGATCAGTGCTAGTCTTGTTGCGCTC